ACATTAGAACCTCAGTTGGTTAACAACCAAAATATTTAATTATTACACAGTAAAACTAAACTTCATTAAAACAACGTATGGCAACAGTTTTATACACTAAGGATGTAAGAAAGAGTTTTTTTTATCACATGCAAGGGTTCACACAAAGAAATCATATTAAATAACTTTTTATAACCATCACATAAACTCCGAAGAGGATTATTTAATTTATAGTTCGACTTTGCTTATGTTAGTTTAAGTGGTATGTAATTGAGCGTACTTCGCGAAGGGACATTGACTTTTATTTCTCCAGTTAAAAACTGAGAATCAGTTTTGATGATAAAAATACTAAATACTACTAGTGTAGGAAGAAGTTTAAGGCGATTTCCATATGGAGGGAGAAGTTCATTTGAATTTCATTCTAAGTCTCTCAGAGCAACCAAAATAAAGAGATTCTAACTTTTTTGACTATAATTTATAGAAAGGACTCCAAAGTACTCAACAATATTCTTAAGTAGGTCGAACTAGGCAAATAAATAAGCTGTTGGTCACATAAGGATCACCAAATTTCTATGACCAGGGTGTTTTAAATCCTAGTAACGACTTGGTTTATTTGCACAAGAATCTATATGTAGAACGTACTTTATTGTATAATATGACACCAAGAGCAAGAAACCAGTCAACATTATCCAATTTGTACGAACCAATGAAATAGTTTAGTTTTTTACATTATTTTTCTTAAATTTAAAGACATTCCATTAACACTACACTAAGTTGCAAGGGAATACAAGTCATGTTGCAGATTAAGTGATTGGATGTGGGAATTAAGAATACAGAAAAGTTTAAAATCATCAACAAACATTAATATTTTGAAGTGGCGAATAATAAATGGAAGGTCGTTTTAATTAAGTACGAAAAGTAGCAGATCTAAATGGCTATCTTGAGGAACACCAGAAAATACTGTTATATTTTTAGAAAGAGTATTGTTGAAAGAACCCTGTTGGATTCGGTGATGCAAATGAGACGATAAACATTTTAGAAGAGTGATACAATAGATGTAACAAACCGAGTTATTCTTTGTGAGTTATTCTAACTGAGTTATTATTTGCAATGCATCTGCAATTTTCAATAACATATCTATTGTCATCAAATGACTGAAAAGGAACATAGGGTCAACGAAGCATTAAAAATAATTGTTAGAGGAAGGTATAGTTCATGTGCACATGTTTTTAAATTGAAAGAGGGTACGTCATCTGGACCCGGTCATTAGGAACATTATATTGACAGAAAACCATTTAACACTTCATCTGCTGTGATAATGATACGAGGAAACAGATTAAGTTTATTAATAATATGAGTAATAATACCATTAATAAAATATCTGGAATACGTAATTTGAAAAAAGTCTGCAAACATGTCTACTATTTCTTTAAGTTACCATGATTCTCTGCTACCGAACCTCATACTACTAGGAAATTTTGCGGACTTTTTATGAATTATCAAATTTGTAAAGGTTTTTAAGATGTTATGAAGTGGTTTTCTCATCTTGACTAATTATTCGGAGTAATATTTTGAATGATGGCTTACAAGAGCCGTTCTCTGAAATTAAACACCAGAAACCCTCCACGTTGGATTCTTTCTTCTTTTAGCAAAACTTTTCACAGCAAAGTTGTTTTAATCACAGCAAAGTTTTTTTTTTATCACAGCACAATTTCACGAGTGGTACTGAGGTTTTTAAAACATTCTTAATTATTTTATAAAAAATTGAAATACGAAAATCGATGATACCTTCAAAACCCCAATTTATATTGGATAATGTGGAACACAGCAGATCAATGTAAGTTCAATGGTAATCATAAGAGTAGGATAATACATATCCTCTGGCTCGGAGAAGGAGGACTTCTACACACAAAAGAAGTTAAGTTAGTTAATTTTTCAAATATGATAACTTCGTAAAGTTGACAATGAGAAAAAGATGACATCTCAGCAGACAGTTCAGTAGAAGAAACTGGTACATAATCAAAAACATTTTCTCCTGGGACTCATGCCAGATAAGGTAGGTTGAAATCCCCAAGACAAATCATTTCTTATATTAACCCAAAAATGCGGAGGAATATAAAAGCAAGTTATAATTTAATATAATAATAATTTAACAATTTATTTAATTTTTCTTTTCTGTAAATTTGATACTGATCGGATAAATTCTCAGTGTCACGAATCTCAGGTTTAAGCCATATATCTGTGAATACCAACATTTTGAAATCGCAGTCAAAGGATATTAAATATATGTTTCTAACTTTAATATTAAGATCTGGCAGGTTCTGATAGAGAATGAACAATGATGTAGTATATTTTGTCAACGGTACAATTGAAAGATTGACCGGGAAATTAACTGAGTTTGTTCGTTCCCTAAATACAAATTCTTTTATTAACAGTCCTTCAGGCTAGAACTATTGAGTTATATAAAGTGAGTGAAGACCGATTGAATTGTCATATGAGAAAACTGAGACGCCAGAAAGTTCTCACGAAATTTATCAGGTGGTATGTGAGCAATATAGGATGTGTTTGACGATTATATATAAATATCCAAAACGCGCTCCTGTGCAGGAAAATGGAAAGTGAACACCTCTTCCCCTAATTAAGGCTTTCACGTTTATTTTCACTGTAGTCTGAATGCAAACATCCGATTATATAGAAAACGTGTGCAAGAGAATGAAATAGCTTACAATGTAGATTTTGTTAACCAGTTTTACGTCTTAGTTATCCGAAAATCCATTTTCGGAAAATAGGAAGAGCATCAAACGTATAGAAGACTGAGACTAGACAAAGAAAATTGGACTGAGAGCGAACAGAACTAAGAAAAAACCCTTACCGTTTACTAGAATCCATTTGTTAAACGTACAAATATTTACAGGTCCACGGATGTATTTGTGGGTGTGGTCTCCTAATGCTCACCTCCAACATGGTAATGGTTACAGCATGCTTGACATGGAACAAAGAAAATTTATAATTGGACACGCTATCATTCTTTATATTCTTCAGCCAACAAAGTTTGACATTGTTTATTAATAAATATTCTAGAATATGGAATGGATTACTTATTCGGAAGCTTGGACTATAATAATGAAAAAGAAATTGAAAGTCAATTGGCCAATGCCAACGCACAACACTTTCAAAGGGCCAGAAAAAAACCAATGATTTTTAATTTTTTTTCTTAGATATAATCTCAAAATGTGTAATAGGTGAACTGAGGCTACATTCCAGAACAAAGATGGGGAGGAGGTCATTGATCCCACCCTGACTAATTTGGATGAATCATTTATATTGAACCGGAAAGTATATTCCGAATATTCGTTCTCGGACCACCGGAATATCATATTCCAATTCATTCATCAAAAACCTCATAGAAATCCAAGGAAGGCCCGTTGGGACACATTTTGCAGAGTATGCTACATTGAGATTGAGATCTGCAGGAAATATACTCAACCTCGAGTGTAGACAACTCTGTGAATTTTATAACAAAATTCTTGCTTTAATGCTATAAAAAAGTGTCGCTTACATTCTCTGGCACGAAATGCCATAAGTGTGGAAAGTAAGTAGACGCCTTGAATAACAGAGCCAATAAGACCAAACTTAATACGGACTGGGTGGCGTATAAGTCGGCTTTCAACATGTGCAATAGTAATATTAAGAAGGCTAAACGTCAATCTTGGGTATGCTTGTCCGAGTTTCGCAAAGCCCTTTCAAAGAAATCTAAATCCATTGAAAGTATAAAGCGGGTCGACGTTACGTGGACTGACTCTGCTCTAGAGACTCTCAATCTGTCTCTTCAGCACTCATCATGTGAGCCATCGACACCTTCAAACGTTTTAAATCACCGGACCGAACGGTATTATCCCCGCCATGCTTCAGTATGCATCGGCGGTTTTAGTAGCGATTCTAGATGTGATTTATAAGGCTTGTTTGCTTCTATCGCACCTTACATCACTGTGGAGGGGGGGTGACTACTTATATTCCAAAGACAGGGAAACCAAGTCATGCACTTTCAAAGAAATATAGACCAGTTTCAGCCTTTGATGTTTTTTATTGAAATCCCTAAAAAGATTTATAGATATAGAGATTAGAAATTTACAACCTGAAATCTCAATAAGCACTGCATTGTTGAAAAAGCGCAACAAGACGTTGTGGGTTATATCGAGAAGAACCTTAATGGCTCATGTTCTACTTTGGCAGCCTTCCTCTATATCGGGGATGGGCTTAATTAATGTCACATTTTATGCTATTCATAACTCTCATATACCTCCCATATATACTTTTTGTTCAAAAGAACACAATTTTTACACATAATATTTTTAGTCTTGTTATTTAATAGTTTTGTTCTATGTCAGCATATAACTGACCTAATATAATTTTGATTTCAGTGTTTATTTTAAGCAAGTCAATAACCCAAATAAAGAAACAACTCGACTGGTTTCACAATTACATGGGCTATTGGCTGAAGTATTTTATTGCTTACTTTGCATTTAATGCTAGTTGTATTGATATCCAAAATGTATAAATACCAAGCAAAAATAAAGATTCTTGGTAGATTACAGAAAATTGTAAAAATACCAAGGTTACACAATTCAAGTGTTGTGTATATCTACTTTTATTTATATTAATAAACATATTTTGGTGACCCTGATCCTGACAAGGATTACTTAATTCACTTATAAATTTTGAATTTCCCCCCACCAATGGTAAGGAATTTAAAATATTTTTTTGTTATAGGAGCTAGTTACGTACAACTGGTAGCATCATCTAAAAGCCAGAAACATCTGGAGAAGAAGCCAGTTTCTACATCAAGAACCATCTGGATCAACTGATAGTTAATCAGACCAAGGCGGACACAGTATGGATCTACCTACAGTAATAGAGCAACAACAAGCAGCAATTGCCGAATTGAGGAAGGCGATTGCGAAGTGAAAAACGCTCCACTGGAAAGAAGGACAGCGGAGTTCTACGCCAAAAAGTTAAAGGAGATGGAAGCACTCTGGGAAGAGATCGATCGCAATGAAAACAAAATTCGTGCAGATCCTGCCGCAGAGTCACATCTCCATATCACCAATAACGAATACCAAGTCATTGGTGGGGAGTACAGAGCTGCAATCGACAACATCGAGGCAGACATCAAAAGGGGCAAAGAACAAATGCCTCAGAAACCGCTTCCCGCAAAAAGGGAGGGGATTCAAAAACAAACTAGCCAGTTTACCAGCAGTGTGGCTGCATTAGTGAGACGTCAGAGGGCTCTTATGCAGTCCATTCAACCTTTAATAAGGGGCAGTTCAGGCCAAGCTGCACTCTGTCAGACAGTGGCTGCAATTGAAAAAACTGTGGACACACGTGGAAGATATCCACTTCAAAATGTTCGAGGTTGGTGGGGTACGATGCATCAGCATACGTTCTCTTAGAGGAAGAGACGTTAAGGTTCAAAGAAAAATATCGACGCTAACACAGGTCGATCATTCGTCGTCTCAGCAGAGATCATGCGGAAACTTAGCAAATCTAGTTAATCTGCCAAAAATTACAATCCCTCAATTTAATGGGGATTATTCGAAGTGGCAGACATTTGCTGACATTTTTGGGAAAATGATCAACGAGAAAGTCTTGCCACAAGTCCAAAAAATGTGGTATCTCAAGGCCAACGTAACTGGGGAAGCCGAGAAACTCATAAGGCACCTCGAGTTGACCGAGGCGAATTACGACATCGCCTGGAAGACACTCCAAGACAGGTACAACAACAAGAGAGCTCAAGTGTCAACTATACTTGAGAGAATGCTAAACCTGCCCAACATGTCTGGCGATAGCAGATCAATGAGCGAGTTTCATAACAGTCTTCATGAATCGTTATTGGCATTGGAGGGTCTTGCAGTAAAGCCAAAAGAATGGGATCCACTCTTAATTCACCTCCTAACCAAGAGGATGGACAAGACTACTCATGTGTTGTGTGAGCAGTCGACTGTGGATTCCAAAGAGCTCCAAACGATGCAACATTTCATGAAATGTTTGGAGAGTCGCTTCGAATCATTAGAAGCTGTCAATGGGATTCAGAGTCAGCAACGACTGCTTCGACCACGATCCGTAGATGTCACATGTGCAAAGGTAACCACTCCCTATATTACTGCAAACGGTTCTTGGCAATGACAGTGCCCGAAAGACAGAAATGGGTTGCTAGACACAAGGTGTGTCTAAATTGCTTCAAGGATGACCATCAGGCAAAAGGTGTACACGTGGGAAGTGTCAACAAAACCACAATACACTTTTGCATTTTTTAACGAGGCCACGAACAAGTCAGCAGATTTGTCAGTTCAGCAGCCACCAACAGTAGCATCAGCGAATAGATCCCAATCATACGTACTCCTTGCAACCGCACGGGTTGCGATCAAGGCAAATAATGGAAGAACTATGAGTTTAAAGCGATTCTGGATTCCGGTTCACAGATTAATCTGGTGTCAGAGCGACTAGTGCAGAGGTTGGGTATAGAACCCATTCAAGCATCGCTCTGTATCGAAGGTGTTGAAGGAATATCGAGAACCGCAAACCACAGGGTCAACGTGGAGCTTCAGTCACTGAACAGCAAATTCAGAACTCATCTAGAAGCTTTCGTGTTACGAAGTATAGTGCCACCCCAACCAAGCCCTGACATCGATATCACATCATGGCCTATTCCAGAAAACATAAAGCTAGCAGATCCCTATTTTTATCAAACGGCCAGGATTGACGTACTACTTGGAGCAGAGTTCTACTTCAACCTGATTCTCTCACAAGAACTTCGAATGTCTAAGGAGCTTCCTATATTGAAGAACTCAAAACTAGGGTGGATTGCTAGTGGAAGAGTTCAAGCTGAATCGGAAACTGTGACATGCGCCGTTTTCGGAGAAGATGAACGTGCTCAAGAAGATTTATTAAAGAAGTTCTGGGAACAAGACGATGTTTGTGAAGATCAGAAGAACAGTGTGAAAATCACTTCAACCAAAATACAAAAGTGAATGAGAATGGTCGGTTTGTTGTGCGATTACCGTTTGCAGACTGCCCTGAGAAGATTTCCGAATCCTTGAATATTGCAGCATCAAGATTCAAGATGCAAGTCTTCATGAGCAGTATGCTAAATTTATGAAGGAGTATGAGGATCTGGGACATATTACGAAAATACAATCAAGAGATGTGCGTGGTAATCATTACTATATCCCGCATCATTCTGTCCTACGCCCAAATAACAGCACAACAAAGCTGAGGGTTGTGTTCGATGCGTCTTGCAAGTCATCATCTGGATGGTCACTCAATGATATTTTGCATTCAGGTTCCAGGGTTCAAGGAGATCTGTTTGGAATGCTGTTGGAATTTAGACTGCCGAGATTTGTCTTTACAACAGACATTGAGAAGATGTATAGACAAGTGCTAGTCGACAAAAGAGGTCGCAAATATCAGCTAATCCTATGGAGAAACACTCCAGACAAGGAACTCGAACACTGTGATGTTAAATGATTTCAAGTTACCCAGACACATGTTTGATGGAGAGAAGCCAACAAAAATTGAGGTACATACTTTTGTGGACGCGTCAGAAAAGGCATATGGTGCTGTGGTGTATCTTCGGGCTATGCTGCCAGACGGCAGGCATATAGTCAAACTCCTTTGTTCAAAATCAAAAATAGCACCAATAAAGGAGATCACGTTGCCACGGTTAGAGATTTGTGCCGCTGAATTGGGGGCAAAACTTACTACTAAAGTCAAAGCCGAATTGGGTTACGAAGATCTACGGACTATTTATTGGTCGAATTCAGAGACTACATTGTACTGGATCAATTCGGAACCATCATCACTTAAGATGTTCGTTGCCAACAAGGTAAACAACATACAAGGCAGATCGCTAAGCACTCAATGGCGACATGTGGGGACGATTTATTATCCAGAGGCATGAAACCAGATCGTCTGTCGGGATGTCTGTCGGGATGGCTCGCAACAAAAAATTGCGTAAAGTGCACCCGTGCGAAGCCAAAGTTATACAACCAAATCATGGTAAATCTCCCACCGAGCAGGGTCACAACTGCAAGACCTTTTATTGTCTCCGGCGTTGACTATTGCGGATCACTATAGGAGGCAAGATACCACACAAGGTTTACATCGCTGTCTTTGTCTGCTTCGCAATAAAGGCTGTACATTTGGAAGTAGTTACAGACCTTACAACGGAAGCATTCATTGGAGCATTGAAGAGATGTATATCTCGGCGAGGGAAATGTCAAACCTTATATTCAGACAACGCGACGAGCTTTGTAGGAGCCAAAAATAAGCTCGATGAATTTAATGAGGCTGTCTTTGGAGAGCCGTGGGTGGCGTAGGGGATGATAGATACCAAGCAACGGCTCTGATTGGCTTTAACATGGCAAAGCCCTGGTCCCATCTTGGTCCTCTTTCATCTCAATTGTAGACACAGACCTCCCCGCGGTGTCACCTGGGGTAACTATGCTCAACACCTGTTGAAATAGTGAGCTAATTTGTGCCGCGAGCTCACCCATAAGAACCATAAAAAAATGGGTTGAGGCGTCGGGTTAGTTGCCCACACTCGGAAAACACCCTCTACTATGAAAAAGCAAAGAAATAGAAAACCAAACTCCCCAAATGTTGACGACCCCCGCAAACGTATAAAGGACCACGATCTGCGAATCTGCACTTGGAATGTCCGCACGTTGAACAGAACAGGCACAGTATTCGCTTTGGCGATATTATTGCCTTACTGGAAATGCGATGGAAAGGGACAGGCGTAAGTAAATCCAATGATTACGCACTGTATTATAGCTGCCATGAAACGAGACATGTATTTACCTGCGGATTTATGGTCAACAGGAGAATAAAAGACCTCGTCTCCAGATTCACTCCAGTAGATGAGCGAATTGCTATTATTCGTATAAAAGCCAAGTTCTTCTACATCAGTCTCATTTGCGCCCATGCTCCGACCGAAGACAAAGATGAGCAGACCAAAGACATATTCTACGAGCGCCTAGAAATAGCATATGACCACTGCCCTGGCTATGACATTAAAATTCTACTAGGAGATTTTAATGCAAAAATAGGAAGGGAGAATATCTTTGGGCCCACCGTCGGAAGATTCAGCCTCCATGAAGAAACATCCGACAACGGTATGAGGCTGATTGACTTCGTGGCAGCAAAAAACATGGTAATTAGCAGCACCAGCTTCAAGCAGCTTCAAGCACCTCGATATACACAAGGCCACTTGGCTTTCTCCTGATCAAACAACGAGAAATCAAATTGATAATGTTGTGATAGACGGAAGGCATTCATGTAGTGTTTTAGACATTCGATCTATCTGAGGGGCGAATATCGATTCGGACCACTACCTTGTAGCAGCCAAGGTTCGCATTCGTCTTAATGTAGCAGCAAAGGTGCAATCTAACACAACACGGAAACTCGACGTCGAAAAGCTGCAAACACAACAGATAGCAGAAGCCTACTCCGCTCAACTTACCCACCTGCTTGACGAAAACACTCCTTGTCCTGATAATATAGATGCACAATGGCAAAGAATTGCCCACTCCCTACAAACTGCAGCAAATGCAACACTTGGGTACCAACAACACTTGGAGTGTCGTAATGCTACTGAGGAGAAAAACACAGCGTATAGGGCAACCCTGCAGACAGTAGCAACACGTAATGTAAGAGAGAACTATCGGGAGAAAAGAAAAGAGGAGAAACGTATTTTCAGAAAAAAGAAGAAAGAACAAGAAAAACGTGAGCGCGAGCAAATCGAGGTGTACAGGAGTCAGAATGAAGTCCGGAAATTTTACCAACGAGTAAAACACCAAACCGAAGGCTGTAGAGATGAAGAAGGAAATCTGGTGACAGATACAGATAGCGTTCTGAGGATCTGGAAGGAGCATTTTGCAAAGCTTCTGGTATCAAATAATGGCGAGGAAGAAGATACCCCAGAACCAATAAGAGATGACGGTATAGAGTGTATACCACCTAGCCAAGATGAGGTCAGAATAGCAATCAATCGGCTGAAGAATAACAAAGCAGCAGGTGCCGATGGTTTGCCAGCCGAACTATTCAAGACCGGTGGTCAAAAGCTGATTAGGAGCATGCATCAGCTGATTAGAACAATTTGGCTAAAGGAATGTATGCCCAACGATTGGAACCTCAGCATCCTGTGTCCCGACGATATGCGGCAACTATAGAGGAATCTGTCTCCTTCCCATCGCGTATAAAGTGCTTTCCAGCCTGTTGTGTCAACGACTGTAGCCAATGGTCAATGACATTATTGGTCAATGACATTATTATTTTCATTCTGCGCCAAATCCTGGAAAAGACCCAAGAAAAACATATCGACACATTCCACCTCTTCGTCGACTATAAAGCCGCATTTGACAGCCCAATCCGCTCAGAGGTGTGTCTGCAAAATTAATAAGGCTATGCAGGATAACTTTAACTGGCCCTTCAATATGTAATGGACTTTTTTTTATCTAACAAACGCATACCATATTTCAAGTAAACATGTTCCCAGACAATTCAAGTTTTTTTTTTTTTGTCGCATGAGATATCGTATTACTGGTGTCGTATCAATTTTGGCTACGCCGCGTGATAAGCCCACGTCAGACTGCCAGTTAGTGAATACAACATCTGTTTTGCTCAACTGTCGTATTCACCAAAGAAGCAGAGATTTCCTTTAAGCGATAAACCAGAAAACTTCCTCTTTCTTTTCTACAAGTCAAGAAGCAAAGACGAAAATTGGGAAATTAAATTGGGTGAAATCCAAGTAATCAGGAAAACATTATTAAATTTTAACAGTGTAATTGTTCCTAGTATCAATTTAATATAATAATTTGTATTAAATACTCACCCATCCTCAGAGATAATTGTTAATAAATTAACTCTTATCGAACGAGAAATCAAGGTAAAGAAATCATTTGTTATTTACATCCTATGACAATTTAATTTAATGTCCATACGTCTGTCCGTTGCAGACATCCATCGATTTTCTTATCGCTCAAGTACCGTAAACTTCTCCATCATTTGAGGGTTCCAGGTTTACCCGGAATGTTGTTTCCAAGTAACACCTCCACCAGAAGTTTTGTCACCACAAGATCCCCCACTTTTCAACCGCGTAAAGTCTTAATGGAAGTCCCATACGATCTTGCTAATAAGCCAGCCAAGAGAGAGATTGATGCGGTCAATTTATTCTACGAAGATAATTATTAGATGGGACCGTAATATTAAATATACTGATTTGGCAGTGAAGCCTTTAACCGACGACTCTGCCTATCATTTCATCGACAAAACGGAGAAACAAAAATCAACCCTCCCCCTCTTCTTCGATACGACCATATCTACATATCACCATTTTAAATTTAAGATTTAATCTCAGCACCATACAGTACTTCTATTCAGCTTCCACCAACGAGATCATCAATTACGCGAAGTAAAGCACAAGATCATTTTAAATTACTACTTCAATCACTCTTAAACAAAAGCACAACAAGTTGTCATAGTTAGTAAAAGTTTTTGCAGTAAATATGAAGGTGATTAAAATAAGTGACTAACAATATGTGATGAAAAAAAACCCAAAAAGCTGCAAGAAAAGCCTTCAGTCGAGTGGTAATATTCCCATAAAAATATTCTTTAAAACCCATTCAAAATTTGTGAATTGTACTCAGAACGAAGTGAAACATTTTTTTATTAATTACATAAAAGTCAGGATGGAAGAGTATAATATAATCCATATAGTTGTTCACTTATTTCGATCCCATGCGTGTTACTTTATATAAATTAACTATCCCTTTATTTAAGTGTATAACGACAGCAACTAGTACAAATAAGGCAAAAACAAAACCAACATATTCCGAAGTGAAAGTGCACCAAGTTTGGAAATAAAGTTTTTCAGCTTCCAAGAAACACCAATACAGCTGAGACTAAAAAGGCCTTTTTAATCATCATCTTATTTGGTAAGTCTGCAATCTAAACCCCCTAAATATGTCCCCTAAATAAAAAGAAAAAAAAAAGAGAAAAGATACGCCCCTGTAAGCTCTTACAAGGCTGTAACGTTACCCCACACTTACGTTTTTTTTCTTCTCCCATTTATGAGTGGAATTCTGTTTAGTTGATTTTGATATTATAGTTATGTGACTCGCCTGCAAATGAGAGAATAATAATCACTCAAAAATGGATTTTTGTTTTGATTCTCCTGATATGTAGATCAATTTAGCCTTCCTTTTGCTTATTTTTTTATGTTTTCTACTTCCAATGTGCATTATTTTTTTTCTCATTTTGTATTTCTAGATCATTATTAGTATTGTCTCTATTGGCGTAGTTTTTTATTATTACCCTACATGCAATACTCTGTCACAGGATTATCCGATTGGACATTTCTATGACAAAATTAATTGTTTTGTGAAAAGTAGAATTAAGAAAATAATGAATTGAATTGATTTAAATATAAACATTAATAAATACGGATGCCTCTAAAATTTATAGCATTCAAACAAGAATTTATGAAATTAATAAAATATATTGAAATGAATATGGTCCACTAAGCTAATTTTGAGGGAGTTTCTCTAAGATGACAATAGCAATGGAATGATAACTTAATTCAACTTACGTTTTGGGGTCCTTTATTATCTGATCGCGAAAGGGACATTGGAATGGGATGGGTTATGAGGCGAGGCTTTCCAAACAACATCGTAGAGGTGCCAAAGTATTATTAGCCCATGTTACAATAACCATTAAGGATATTAAGGTATGCCTAAGTCGTTCTATATTTTTTTTCTTTCAAGGCTGTGTTTCTTTTCTGTTAACGACGTGCTTTCTTTTTATTTAGTTTCAGTTGTTTATTATTTTTCATAAAAATAAAAGGGAGTTTTTTTTTATTACTGTAATGATGAACTGGCTTTAGATAGGAAAGGACCGAACTCACCCAGCCGACTGCTTTTGCTAGCTATTATAAACTCCCATTGTCCTTCTCCGATCTATTAAAAAATCGATTTCATTTTTTTTTTGAGCAACACCCCAGCTGTTTTTACCGAAATACATGTTCATTACAGAAATTGGCGCCCAACGTGGGGCACAAAAGGACATAAACACCCTTTTCTGCTCATCCATATTAATTCAATTCTAAAGCTCATTATCCATAACAAAGTCGAGAAATTTTTTCCTTAGTACACTTGCCTGCGAAAAAAAATTCCAGCCCTATTTTGGATTATTAGCTACTTGAGTAAACACAGTTCCGGTAAGGTAACCGCTTAGTTAGGGTATTTCCTTTCCAGGGTTGTCTAGGCTGATTTATTGAAGACTTTGCTTTATTTTAGCTTTTCAAACTTATCAAAAATTAGTCTTTTTGACTTAGCTATCAGCTCCTACTTAATTCTTGGAGATACAGAGGATTTGCTGTCTGCAATTGCCATTATTTAGTAGTAAATTCAAAAAATGTTGAAAGATTATTGATGATGCTGGTTTGTTAAAATGAAGTACTTTTGGCAAGATTTTTAAAGTACCATAGAATAGTGTTGTTTTCCTTAATGGATTGTATTGGCCATATTTATCATTCCTTGCTCTGTTGTCGAAAAGAAAACTCCTTCCATTCCTCATTGATTATAAGTAGTGTTGAATTCCCACTACATACCTTCTTATTATACTATCTTTCATTAGAATACTAGATTTTGAAAAAAAAGCAAAGTTTTTTTTTCATTTTGCTCTACCCAAAATGTCACTTGAGAGAACTCCTCCAAGGTCTTGGCCTTTCCCATGAATACCGATACCGTACATCTATATTCCATTTGCATGGAAACTTTATCAGAAGACCAGAATTGCGTCATCATACAGGAATGTAATCATATATTCCACAGAATATGTATCGAAACTTCGTTAGTGAATAGCTCGCAGTGTCCTGTGTGCAAAAGATCTTGTCAATTGTCTGAATTGCGTGGATATAATTTCAATGTTTCCACTAATAACAATACAGTATTTGACTCCCCACACATAGAAGGCTCTGTTCCTCTCATCAATACGACCAAACCAAGTGGAAGAGGGAAACCACGAGGTGCCAAGGCATACAACACGCGAAGTCATATGCGAAACCTTTTTAATGACTGTAAACAACCTCTAAATACAACTCAAGAGTTGGTTCATCAGGAAAATGGTGCAAATCAAAATGAACCAATATCAAGTCGAAACAACAAAGCACAAAATACAAAAGGTGGTAGAGTAAACGTTGACTACGATTATATTAATCGTATGATAGAAGAAAGTATGTCACGGTTATTAAGTGCCATCAATATTGATCTCTCAGGGGGAATATCTTCCAAAACAACTGCCCCAATTAATATACCCCGCACCCCGACAGAAAATCGTTCTGCTCACGATTATCCCATGTCCCACATGCATAACCATAATCAACGAGCTACGGATCATAGTGCAGTAGAACAAAATGTATCCCACCCTTTAAACCTTTCTTCGCAATTTCGTATGCCTTACACAGTGGATAAAATATCTTCTATCATCCAGGGTTGGAATCTTCGATTCGAGGTTTCTCCAACTGGATTGAATGTGGAAGAATTTTTATACAGAGTAAGGTCTCTCACGAAAGATTACTTTGACGGAGACCTCTCTATAATTTGTAAAAACTTGCAGATATTGCTATCAGGAAGGGCTCGAGATTGGCTGTGGAGATATCGTAAACAAGTTCAAAACATCGAATGGGAAAACTTCTGCCAGGCGATTCGTTCACAGTATGCCGATTTTAAAACCTCGTCAGATTTAAGGGGGAAATACGAAACCGTAAGCAGAAGCCGGGAGAGATATTTGATATTTTTTGGATTCAATTTCTGGCATAATAGGTCGGCTAGATACACCGATGTCTGAGACAGGGGTAGTTGAAACATTAACTAGAAATTTACGCCCCGAAATTCGACAAGAATTGCTTTATATTCATATTAGATCAGTCTCACATTTACGTCAGCTTGTTCACAAGCGCGAGAACTTTCTCAATGACGACCATGTGCGCCGCAATGTGGCCTTACGGCAAAACAATAACATGGCGGCAAGGCGCCAAATGGCTGGAATAGATCATGAAGAAGCGGACGATGAGCTTTTACCAGTTTTGGAAAATGATAATTTTATTAACGCATTACAGGGATCTTCGTATGTCTCTTTGTGTTGGAACTGCGAAGAAAAAGGTCACCACTGG